CGTAACGGGCCACCACGCCGGACACCCCTCGGGGTATCGAGAGGCCAGCAACACACCGCTTGCAGACCCCTGGCGGACCGCCCTCAGGATTTGGGCAGGAGCCTCCCCTTCCTCCTCCTCCTCCTCCTCCTCCCTCCTCCTCCTCTTCCTCCTCTTCCTCCTCCTCCTCTTACACCTCCTCCTTCTCCTTCTCCTCCTGTTCCTCTTCCCCCTCCCCCTCCTCCTCCTCCTCCTCCTCCTCCTCCTCCTCCTCCTCCTCCTATGCCTCCTCCTCCTCCTCTGCCTTCTCCTCCTCTCCTCCTCCGTCTCCATCCCCCTCCTCCGCCTCCTCCTCCACCTAGTCCTCCTCCTTTCTCCTCCCTCCTCCACCCACCTTCTCCTCCCTCCTCCTCCTCCTCCTGCTCCTCCTTCCTCCCCCTCCACCTCTTCGGCCTTCTCCGCCTCCCCTTTCCTCCTTTCTCTTCCTCCTCCTCCTCTTCCTCCTCCTCCTCTTTCCTCCCTCCTCCTTCTCTTCCTTTTCCTCCTCCTCCTCCGACCTCCTCCTCCCCTTTTGACGTTCGGCAAACTTCCGGTGCTATGCTCGTAACGTGCGGCGCAGACCAAAAACGGTCAGATTTGGATATGGTGGTAACACATGTGGAGGATGCAAATCCGGAACAAAAAACATCCTGAGGCAAACCGTGTTGGTAAAACTAACGTTGCCCGTTAGGGTGCAGAGCAACTGAGTACAGATAGTCAAGGGGAGGAGGGGAGACATCATGAACCAAGTATACCAACAGAGAAAGCCATGGGGGAAACAAACAGAATGAACGAAAAACTCGCGCAAATGAGAATGGGAGCAAGCGACTGGTCAAAGGGGGGTGAACCTGTTGTCTAGCACTGCTTAGGGTGGACGAGTCACAAAAGAGTACTCGGCACGATAGGAGATGGACGATTACCTCCTCCTTCCCCTATCGTACACCCCAATAACCCCGCCGTCAACACAGCAAGAAGAGGCTACTGTATTTTGGGCATGGGCGGGCTGGAATGCGAGAGACCTATGTGTAGCCAACCTCTGGGTACAACGCATGGCTTCGCAAGGTGAGCGCGGGTACAACAGCAAACGTCTAGTTGCTCGAGCTGTGTTTGGTCGGCGCTGTGCAGGCGAACCTTCGATCATATACTCCAACTGCTGCGGTTGTGCTGAACGTATTGTGAGTCTGCGTCATTTGCCACAAACGTGAGGCTACTGAAACTGAACGTTGGCTTTTCCCCCATCTCCACCACCAAACCCAACCAATCCAATCCTCTCTCCGTGTCCGACAAGGTGACGCGTACAATTGCAAAAACAAATATGCCTACAGCTGGGCATGTGAGGGTATATACCGGGTGGGCTGCTTTGACGGCATGGGAGAGCAGAGCCAAGAAGCTGCACGAACATAAACATGCACTCTAAGACTGAGGTCAAAAGGAGATATATAACATTGAACTGTCCTTGATTCGGGGCCGACCTCCTGCTGGACAGGGGGGCCCGACAAAGTTGTTCCCGCCCCTCCCATGGCCAAGCCCCATCCGAAGCCTCACCTCTAACTCCCCAGAAGTACGAGATGCAAAATGCCCTAACGACAGCAGCGGATTGGCAGTACCTGAATCATAACGAAAGGAGAGAAGCCCAGAGATCTTAGTGAACGGAGTCAGGTGCCGAGTGGCTGCTTAATGCTTTACCCAATACTTGGGCAGCACTACAGCAGCTGAATATGATGCAAGGCCAGCCAATTTACCCCAGCCTCTTCCCCCACCCCTGAGACCAACGCCCCCTCCCCAGCATGAAATTCAACGCAACTTGGAAAGAATTTGAAAGTAACGTGCGAATATTCACCTGGCAACTGCACGTGACTGATAAAGACAGCAAGCTTGAGTGTCAAATAAGCTGGCACAGTGTCGCATTGGCTGGCATCTGTGGGGTGGGCAATGAGTGCTGTCAGTCTATGCCAGTGCTGCTCGGCAGCCTACAGTTGGGCGGGCCGACTGGCCCGCCCCTGTCAGGAGCCAAAATGGCAACTGCAGCAGTTCGCAACTAACTGCTAATTGAACACATGTAGCAGCAGGTAGCCATAGGAGGTATATACAAATGTATAGGAAGGGGAAATGGGGAAAGCATGGCGAAACATGCAAAGGGCGATCCACCCTGTTCTGCATGTATGAATGCAACGGGCGATTCACCCTGTCTTGCACTCCGTGGCCGCACTGATATCCCAATCCCAGAACCAGGCAACAGTCCGCCGCGAACCCCCCTACCCCCGAAGAAGGCTTGAATGCAGAAAAACGATAGGTGCCAGGAATCTGGCAGATACTGTGCACTGTGTGGGGCCTTAGATCGAAAGATAGTGGGCAAAAACAGCGTGGGAGCAAGGAAGACCGAGCAGAGGAATGCAAGCTCTGCGGAGAAATTCCGGTGAGAAAAGAGCAGGCAATCTTTCGTGAGTCATTGCCGCTCTGGGAGTAGCTGTCGTCGATGAGGTGTGGTAGGCATGCTGAGCCTGCCATGTGTTTCCCAGCTATCCCAAATATGGTGCGCGTCCTGGTGGGAGTGTCGGGCATTATGGCTTGGCGGTCTGAGGTGGTTTGGACAGTGTTGTGTTCTCGTGCGTGGTGTTGCGAGTCGCTTGGAGCTGTGCGTTGCGTCTGGTTGTTTCTTCTAGGTGCTCCTGGTAGTGCTGCTGATGACTACGGATTGTGCCCACGTGCTGCTGTAGAAACGGGCCATCGATATCGTTGACGCGGAGCGTGTCGTACGTGTTGTCCTCTGCGGGCACTGGTGTGGAACCAGCTTGGCTGTCGTGCATCGGCGGTGGTGCCTCTGGCGGACAGTAGTCGCTGATGGTCGCGGTCTTGTGGTGGTATGTCGACGAGCCATAGAAACTGCGTCGATTGTGCCTGGTGACGAGCAGACAATAGGGACCTTGAGCTGTGGTGGTCGTGGGTGTTGGGGACTGCGCATCCTAATGTGGTCTGTGTGGCGGCTCTGTTGTGCTCTAGGTGTCGTAGCTCCTGCTCGCGCGTAGGTCGTCCTTGCCTCCTCTGGGAAGGTGGTCTGCTCCGTCGGATGAGGTGACGATAATATTGCAGTACTGGTGGGCACATACTGTCTACCCGTTATTGTGTAGGTGGCCCGTGGCTGCTAATCTTGTATAGCACTGCCGCCGCACTTGGTAAGAACACTGCCCAATCTCATCACGTGCAAGTCTGTAACCTCTGTGCCACCACTGTAAGTACCGTGCTGGTTATGGTGTCTGGTGTTGTTGTGCAACCCGAGCTTGTCGTGGATATGCTGGTTAGCAATCCTTATGTCAATGCGGACATCAATCTCGTCGTTGCGCGTGTCCTGCATGTCGTCAGTCATGGCTCAGAGTCGTAGTCTAGGTGCTGCTGTCAGTCGTGGTGGTGATTGTGGTAAATGTCAATCTGTATTGTGGAGTACTTCGAGATGGGTCGCTTGGTAAGCTCAGCTGGCGGGACCGTGTGGCAAGACAGTGGTAGTGCCTGGGGTATGGTCGTAAAGGTGGGTGTGGTAGCACGTTCGGGTATGTGCTGCTGACGAAGTACCCTCTGTTGTACCAGGTGTCCAGAAGGAGATGGTCGTTGCGGATCTTGTGCGTGTAGATGTTCCTGCTGGAAACACTTGACTACATAATGCCAATTGTCCTCCTCCCAACTATCATCTAGGGAGGGGTATGCCGTCCACCCTGATTGGCAGTGCATGTCATACTAAGTTAGCTAAGGGTATGGTGGTAAGAATGTCAATGTTGTCACGGTCGCTATCATCGCTGCTCCGGATGTCGCCTGCAGGAACTGATGCGCATTTGGGAGTAGGCTTCGTCGCCAAGAGCGGCGACCCTGCGTTATGGTAGTCGGCTGGGTGTCGTGGGTCAACGTCTGTGGCTCGTGTGGATGCTGTCGCTGCAGGTGGAAGGGCCATTGGGAAAGATGTTGATACTGGCACTTTGGCGTTGGGTGGTGGTATTCGGAGTGGCGAAGTTGGCTGTCGTGATTAGCTGAATTGTTGCTTCCGTGGTTTCGGTGGTCGGAAGTCGATGTACGGGAAGATAAGGTGTTGTGTTGTAGGTGGTGCGTGCCCAACGCATCGAAACCGTAGCATATCCTGGTGTTCGTACTCCGTTTGCTCTACTCGTCGTCGCTCTCCTTATTGTTGCTACACCTGTGGTAGCATATAGGTGGCTGCCGCCCATGTTCACGTGGCACCCGTCGATCCTCCTCGGTGGCGGATGTCTGAAGGTGTCGCCCGTGGGGTGCGGCATGTGCATGATGGCCGTGGGTCTGTCTCATCGCGTGCACTGATTGGATGACGGGTGCAGTGTAGTGCTGTGGGTAGATTGTTATGATGGCCGTTGGTGAGGAATTCCTCCTCCTCCTCCTCCTCCTTCTCCTCCTTCCTCCTGCTCCTCTCTCCTCTTCCTTCTCCTCCTCCTCCTACTCCTCCTTGGATGTCTTGGATCGGCGCTGGGTTACCCTAGCGGCGCCTCTGGCACCGCCCTTGGCTGGCTGCACGCGCCAGGGAGGGAAAAGCAGCGCAGATCCAAATCCGCGCGGACCGTCAAAGTGTTATTTGTGTCAAGCCTCTCTGCATGTCGATGCGAGTGGGCACGCGGATGTCCATGAGTAAATACGCGTATGTGTAAACACATGTATTGCGGGTTCAATACATGTCACCGAGCGTGTGCGAGCGCATGCGTAGAACTTGTACCGATATATACACATATATGTATATATATATATATTCACACATACACACACACACACACTTGCGCGTAAAAGTATCGCATACGCCAACATTCTCGAATATGGAGGTGCAGAATAAACAAAGCATGCACCGCCTTCGAAACACCCAGGTGAAGGCCGATATTCGCGACACCGACCTGTGCGACATTCAAGGGTAAACACATCACATAAGACCTTGTGTGATAACGCTGTCGTGCCAGAAGGTGACGCTATATGGCCCGTCACTTCAACTCCACCAGATAAGCTCTGTGTGGTAGGTCATTGTAGCCATTCTTGCCACCATGAGCGTACACTGGATTCCCAGGTGCAGAATCAGGGATGTGAAACCACGATACATCATTGTCGTCGTTGATAGAGTCAAAGAGGCCAGGCCTTCCATCGGGATAATACCCCAACAACCTCCCCGGTGCTACATACACAAACAAGTAATCAAGGACGTGGTGATGAGTGCTCTCAGCTCCCCCGCCCTGTCCTGGCCCAAGGTAAAAGTCCCAAGCACGGCAGTACCCGTTCTCGAAAACAAGAGACGTCCCAACACTAGTGGGGTATACTGCGCCAGCCAGCAGGCTGTCGACTTCGGACTGCGAGTGCCTCGGTGGCTGCCTCAGCTCGAACCAGATCTGCCTGTACGCGCGGCTCCCAGTGTTGCGAAGGTCCCAGACGACCCCTGGCTCGATGGATCGAGGAAACAAAAACGGCACAAGCAGAAGCCTTCGGAGGCGAGCGTGGAATTCCTGGGTCTGCGCTGGACCCCCCTCCCCCCCTCCTAGCGCGGCGCCGCCAGGGGGGGCCCAGCGCCGACCCGGGAGAGATCCGCGCGGGCCTCTCCGAAATCCTGGATGTACGCAGACTTGCTCCTTCGAGCTGAAGAAGGCCTGCTTGTCCTCCACCGCAGCCGCCTGTGGGGGAACTAAAAGGTAACGATGCAGCGCAGCCATTCCCCGGACCTCTCCCGGGGTGCGTTCTGACCAGAATTTCGAGGAGAATCCAGCGGTGGCGACGAGGGCCTTCCAGGGGGCCCCACAAGGCGAAATCGAAGGAAGGGTGGCAGTATGCGTACCTCCACAGATGCGCGATGCCCTGATACCTGATTCTTTCAATACGGGCTCCCCGAAAGTCTCGACCCTCTGGGCCAGTTTATCATCCCGAAGTGCTGTTTCACAGCCCCGGGGCCCAGCGAGGGCCCCCAGATGCTGAAAACGGCCAAAACCCTTGGGCTGCGCGCTTCCACGACCGCGAGCGCATAGGTGAGCTTCCGCTGGCCCAGCGTCGACGGAGATGGCGATGACGAGACGAGGGCGACGAGGGCGACGAGGGCGACGAGGTGACGTCGAGGAGAATCCAGCGATGGCGAGCCTTCCTGGACGCCCCAAGACGGCCTAAAAGCGAGGGCAGGGCAACGGCATTGGATGCCTCGTTGCCTCGCCACGCAGCGCATGGTTGCGAATACGTTGCCGCATGATGTGCTGCAGGCATGCATGCATGTGCGTTTGTTGCGCCATCCGTAGCCGCCGAGGCTCGAATCTAGAAGCCAGGCTGAGGAAAAGAACTGCGAAAGCTGAGTGTGATGTTGGTTTCGTCGCTGCTCGAGCTGGTAGACATGGGGGCCAATGCAAACTGGGGTCGGCCAGAGCGCCGGATCTTGCAGGATCCTGCAAAGCAAGGGCCACACTGGTCTGGGCTAGCGCGCGTGATCGCGCCAAGTCCTGCAGGGTCTTGCACGATTCTGCCAAGCCCGACTGACCCGGAATTCTGTTGACCCCGGTTAGCTGGGGGATGCAAAGGTGGGGTAGGGGTAATTCGAGGTGGGGATGGGGATGAACATCGCTCTAAACGGCTCCTGGAAGAAAGCCCTGCAGACGTCCAGCTGGGCTCGATCCGCAGAACCTCACCTTGGGATGACCCTCCCATCCCCGGGCCAGTGCAAGCCCGAGATCCTGCTCCGAGTCCCCCCCGACCCCCGATACCGAGTCTGCATGCTTCTGGACAGGTTGGAGCCGTCGGGCCACTATCGGCGATCAATGGGCGATTGGGGGTCGATGCATCCCCCCATAGGCCCAGGGTCGGGCTAACGGGGGTGGCAGGTTGCTTGGTAGGGTATCGAGCTTTGTGACACCGAACGCGCGCAGAAACAAGTGCAGGAATTCGCAAACCAAGCGCTCCTTCACTTCACGAATGTGCCAGCGTATCGAACGAAAACGGCACAACGAGCTGCAAGAAAGCAAGAACAACGCTTTCCTGCAATCGGTTTGGCCACGGACCGGGCTCACCCACAATGCCAAAACCTACCAAACCGTTACTCAGGAGGGAAAAAAACACACAGACACAATGAATCCTCGATTCCCCAGAAAATATGGGAAGATATGGGGAGTGGGGGGGAAGACAAAAATCCCAGAAAATATGGGAAAATATGGGGAATCGTTGTATTTGTGTGTATTTGTTTGTGTGTCCCAGTTCCCCTTCAGTTACGTGGAACACCGTTGGCCCGTCTACGGCTGCCCCCCCGCTGTTTTGCGGGCCGTCGCTCGGCTCTCCGGCGGCCGTTCGGGGCGATTCTGGCACCCTCCGGGCTCTCTTGGCGAGGCGCCGCTGCTGGAGAGCGCCCCGAGGCTGGAGAACCGCGGAGAACCAGCGGAACCCGAGGGAAACCTTGACGCTCGAAGGCTGTCCTCGAAACGTTGCCCCCCTGAGCCTATCCCCCCCTGCCGTGGCCTTAGCGGTGGCAATTCATGGGAGCCTCCCATGACATCCTGCTGGCTCGTGCGAATCGACGCCAGTCGACGCTAACTCGACGCTAATCGACGCTGAGTCGACGCTACTCGACGCTAACCGACGCAAAGCAGCACCATCCCATCCACTCCCAGACGCTCATCGACGCTAGTCGACGCTGAAAACAAAGTTAAGAGGGTACACCAGGCTCCCATGATTTGCTGCAGATGGGGGGCAACGGCAACGATAGGGGGGGATGGGCGTAGGAGGCGATTCATCGACCTGGAATCGGCGATGCATCGTCGATAGATCGGCGATGGGCCCCAGATAGTGAATCCGCACCGACCTGGGCGGAGTGGGGTCGTCGGGCTCTTATCGGCGATCCATAGTGCGTCCCCCCCTGTGCCTATGCCCCCCTATCGTTGCCCCTGAGCAGAGCGTTGACCCTGATATGAGCCTCCGCTGGCCCGCCGTCGACGGAGAGCGCGTGGGAGCCCGCGCCAATGATGGGCCCATTTTCCACCACCACTACCATTTGTAGGAGGAGGAGGAGGACGAGAAGGATGAGGAGGACGAGGACCTACTCATCCTTCCTTCTCCCCCGTCCTCCATATGGTGTTGGTGGTGGATCATTTGCCCATCAGCCCACCTGCCAGCGCAGGGTCGGGCGAGCGGCGCGGGCGCCGCGGAGGCGGCCCCGCGGGGGCAGCAGCAGCTCCAGGACACGCACACGGGCCGGGGGACGCCGGGCACGCACCAGCACAAGAACGAAGCCAGGGCTAGGAGAACTTCGGGTGAGGATACATCGAGAGTCGCTGAGATCCGTCCTACTCCTTCTCCTCCTCCTCCTCCTTCTCCTCCTCCTCATCTCCAAATCCTCCTCCCTCTCCTCCTCCTCCTCCTCCTCTCCTCCCTCCTCCTCCTCCTCCTCCTCCTCCTCCTCCTCCTCCTCCTCCTCCTCCTCCTCCTCCTCCTCCTCCTCCTCCTCCCCCTCCCCCTCATGGTCGTCGTCGATGTCTTTCAGGGTCGGCAACACCGGCCGTCAGGCCTTCACAATCCCTGAGATCCGTCCGCTCTGGATCGGGTGTTTTGCTAGCAGTGCTCATGGACCAAGGTGCCCCTGGGGCCCTCTGGGCCTCGTGAGGGGTGCTCTGGAGGCCGTCTGGGCCACCCCGAGATCCCTGGGGGTACCATGTGCCAGGGGCACTTCCAGCAACACCCGACTGGAGGATGTCTCTGGCGCCGCGGCCTTCGCAGAGAGTTCTGGAGCGCTCCGAGAGTGTTCCGAAACGCTCTGGAACCAAATTATCCTCGTCCTAGCCCCGTCCGACAGCAGTCTGCGGGCAATCTTATATCCATGTTCAGCGGCGAGCGAGGGGGAAAGTGAGAAGGAGAAGGCCCTCTCAGAAGGCGGCGGGATGTTTGAGAAGTTGTCTGTGCTTTGAGAAGTTGTCGAACATATATTTGAAGGCTGGGGGACTTCCGAGCCTTATGTGGGACTCACAAGGGCATGGTAGTACTATGTGTCCTACTCGGAGGCGTGCGTCCGACACCGATCTTGTAATAGATCGTTTTCCGAGCGGTACGGCCAGAAAGCGCTCACCACGACGCATATACTATAAGATTTCTCTGTGCGCGCGTTGCCCCTGGGGGGGCGACGCCCACACATAGTATTAGTATGTTGGGGTGCCGCCGATTCTGAGAAGGCCCGCCCCTTCTCGCTTCCCCCCCCTGGATTCGCCGCCGGATATCCAGTGCGTCTTGGACTTTCTTGGAAGAAGCGCCGCAAGGCCGAGGCGCAGTGGACATGGCAAAAAATCGAGCCTCCGGAGGCCAGATGTTTCTCCATATCTTGTGCGCCTCGGGCTTCTGGGAAAGGATGTCCGAAACCACACGCTGCACTGGATATGGACACAAGTCTTGCACGCACAGTCAACCCATAGTGAAATCAGTCGTCAAATCCATGGCAGACCTATAGTCACCCGTGGTGTCGTCCAGACCAAAAGAGAATGGCCAGGCCGATATAAGGATACAACACCATATATCCAGAGTGCGGACGCAAGGTAACAATACAAAACCCTTGGAGGTTCTATGTGGAGCACCTCGGACGTCAAAACTTGCTCGGGATGGGCCGAAGAAGCAGGGATACAAGGGGAGCCTCGATGAAACAGTGAATCCGTACCAACGCTTTTGACAATAATTCAAGATTTATGTTGCTCCCATCGTACTTAAGTACCGCATCCCAGAAAAATAATCGAGCATTCAGACAAGTATCGAAAAGAGTGTCGAAACAGTGTCGGACGAGTGTCTCCCAGGGCCCGACACGTGAGAACCCTCGAGTTTCGGTACTTTTTCCTGGTGCTCGAAATTCTTCCTGGCGCTCAAGACTAAAGATAGGTTGGAACATCAGCATTCTTGGTCACCTAACTTCGCGCATCGCAGCCCGCGATGCTCGGCGCGCGGTTATCTTCGCGCCTGCGCACCGCCGCCCTGAAGCACGGCACCTCTGCAACCCAGAGCCGCGATGACCGAAGCGCGATCATCTTTCCGCCCGATCAAAGTGGAACAACAACAACAACAACAACAACAACAACAACAACAACAACAACACCAACAACACCAACACCAACACCAACAACAACAACAACAACAACAACAACAACAACCGTAAGCATACAATATTCGAAGGGCCACGCGGAACTCACGGATCAACGGTGGACCCCCCTCCCTGGTGGGGAAAACACTGGGTACCAATACCGCTGCTCCCCGGAACTCTCCCAGGGTGCGTTCTGACCAAAATTTCGAGGCGAATCCAGCGGTGGCGACGAGAGCCTCCCTCGGACATTGGCAGAACTGGATTTAGTGGGACATGGTTCACATGATGTCTACCGTGGGGCGCCCCCCCCGTTCCATTCCACTAACCGGACTTGCCCTAATCCGAAGAGCATCACATCAGCTACGGCAGACCTGGTTCAGGGATCCCAATCCATCTCTTGGGTTTCGGGGACCAACCACTAACCGGCTCCCCTCAACCAGGGTCCTGGCTACACCCGACTCCCAGGAGGCCCCAAAAGGCGACATCGAGGGAAGGGCAGCGGCATCGGTACCCCGTTCCTCCGCTGACCGGCGCGAGGAGCGCGCCAGGGGCGGCGCCACGAGGCACCGCCAGGGGGGTCCAGCGCGGCTGGGG